ACTCCTAAATATGTTTCGAAATTGAGAGCCAATCAAATTAAATTAAGTGAGGGATTTTTATTTTTATTTTTCTGATTTTTCTGATTTTTCTCTTTAATGTGCACCTCACATTTCCAAAATTACAGACCAATCAACATCCAATCTCATCTTTTGCTTTATTACAATTTATTGTGTGAAAGATGTTCTTTTTTATTTTTTTTAGGGAGATTTTCAAACTTGGTCTCTAAGAAAGAATTAAGGAAGATATTTCTTTCATTATAATTATTTTTTTACTGATTTCTTATTTATTAGATTTATTATTAGTTTTGTGGGCCAGACAAAATAATGTGTTTACACATAAACTTTTGATTTGCTTATAATTAGTCCTTTATCTTTTGATTTTTTTTATACTATTATCTTTATGATTTACAACTCATTTTGAGTTATCCTATGTTGCAAGGATGAGTCATGAAATTACTTCCAACTCAGCTTTTCATATGAAGAACTGTGGAAGACAGACAAAGAGGTGAGAGGAAACGAAGAAGTGAGCAAGATAAATCCTACTCAAATGTTGAAAAGGCAAACAGAGAGGGAGGGAAAAGAAAGTTTCATAGACAAAAAAGGATAGGCTACAAACCTAGCATAGGCGATGAATTTGAATTGCTAGAAATATTGACCTTATCTATTTCTTCATTTCCCCCTTGGGAATCATCCAAAAAAATATTTGGAATGTTAACACCCTCACATTCCAATCAAGTAACTTGTAAAGTCACTTCCTTCAATGCCGGGATATGAAATTCGCTTTCATTCACCATGATCTCCATCGCTATTGTCCTCATTGTCAATACACCGATGGACGCATCAAATTCTCTTCTACAGCTTCTACTGAACCAATTATTTGGATGTCTTTATAAGATTTTAAATCATGACCAAGCTGGCCACAATTAAAGCAAAACTTCTGGACTTTTTGATGCTGAATCTTCAGCTCAAACTTTCCTAAAGTTGGCACTCGTCTGGGAACTTGGAAGCCCAGGACCAAAGGTTCATCAGCATCCAATTCAATCCTAACCCAAATGAAATCTCTGTTGGCACTCTTTCCACCATTTGGGTCTTTGCAACTTTCTTTTTTCTCCCTCTTCGTCTGGCTTTTCAACACTCTAGTCAGACTCACCTTGCTCACCTCCTTTCCTCTTGCCTCTTTGTCCGTCTTCTGCAGTTTTTTGTATGTAAAGCTGAGTGGGAAACAATTTTATAGCTCATCCTTGCAATATAGGATAACTCAGAATGAGTTGTAAATCATAAGGATAATAATACAAAAACAAATTAAAAGATAAGAGACTAAGTTAGGAACGAGTCAAAAGTTTAAGGAGAGTCATAGTTGAGGGACTTAATTATAAGTAAGTTAAGATTAATTTTTCCTATTAAAATTGTATATTCAAGACCTTGTATTTGAACATTCAAAATTCTTTCCATGATTTCACCTATTGATTGAAGTTGTATTTTTAAGTGGATAAGGCCCAATTTTATCCCAAAAGTTTTCATTCAGAAATTATGGGTATCCAAAAGTTTTTTTTAAGAGTAATGTTACCCTGTAAGTGTTAAAAACGTAATAATATTATCTTGGTATTAACAAATGTTAAGTTTGACCAGCCAACAGAGATTGGGTCTAGTAGAAGGGGTTAGTCCCCACAACGTAGTGAACCAAAGTATGAATTCCCGTTGAGAAAGGTGCCCACATTTAGTGCCCGACAGTGTTTCAAATAAGATCGTCTCTAATAGAAGGATACCTATGCTTTAGCAAAAAAAATGTTAAGTTTGACCTTTAAATATATATTTGACTAACTTATGCTGATGTGGCTTGCTGAGTTGGAAAATGACTTGTTGACCAATCATAATATCTTAACTCAGCTAATTTGAATCCTAGTTGGCAGCCATTTGATAAATTAAAAAATAAAAACAAAATAAAATAACACAAAATACCCAAATCACCCTTATTTCATTTGGGAAAAAAAATCGATTGCCCTCCCTCATCCTCAAGTCACTCAGCGTCCGTTGTTGGAGCTTGTCTACTTCTAGAACAAAAACTGTAAACAAATATGCAAATGACAAAATGAAATCAAAATCTGAATCATTAAATTTAAATCAATATATGTATAATTAAAAAGAGAAAAAAAAAAGGACATGGAGACCGGATCTGAAACGGATGAAGGAGGAAAGATGAGGAATGTTAATAAAAAATGAACAGTGACAGTGGCCTGCAAATTGGCGACAAGGTTCAAGCAGACACCCATATCCATCGACCATCAACGCTGAGGGGGACGGGGGGAAAGGGGTAAAGACGCTGAGGTGGCACTCAGTTGGATAAATGAATGCCACGTACACGTGAGCTCTAGTCAAACAAAATGGTCAAATTTAACATCAGTTAGCATCAATGGGACCTTATCCCTATTTTTGGATACTCACAGCTCCAGAGTACATACTTTTGGAGCAAGATTGGACCTTATCCCTATTTTTAACAACAAATGTTTTTGAACGCGGCTTCGAATACAGAGAAATAAATCCACACTCTTATTAATATAATATGTGAATAATATTCTCCTTCTGGTTCTTCTTATAAAATCATTTTAATTAAATAAAGTATTTTAAGAAAATAGTTAGAATTAGTTAAACGCAATGAATATGTAAAATTTTGATTTTTCAAGTATGTGCTTATTTAATAAAGGAGTAAATAAGATGAAGAAATACTAATAATAAAATAAATGAAGATAATAAAAAATTAATTAGAGGCAAAATTAGTAAAAACACACAATGTTTAGACACCTCTGAGCAAGATCTTATAAAAATGACCAAACCAATTCAAATTTTGGGAGGAGCAGTAAATCTTGAATTTAATTTAGGGAAAACCATATTGGAGGTACCTATACTTTTTTTCAATTTTCAATTTGGTACCTATGTGTTTTTTGTTCTTAAACAAATCTTTATTTTTCCTCTATTAACATCATTAATCCTTATGTAGAGATTAAAAATATCAATAGAACAAAGTTATAAGAGCTAATGTTGCCAAAAAGATAAAATTAAATGTTTAATTAAAGGGAAAAAACACATAGGTACCAAATTAAAAATTTAGAGAAAGTATAGGTACCTTCAATATGGTTTTCCCTTTAATTTAATATATTATTTTATATTTCATATTATAAAAAGAAAGGATCTAGCTAGTATATAGAGCAATACAAAAAGAATACAAGCTATCTGGTTTCGAGATGTAATCAAGTTTTTGAAACAAATATAATGAATATCCCAACAATGCCTTCGATTCTTTTTACCGGGCTTCTCTGGATGAAGTCCTTATTAAACATTGTACTACCTCCGGTCCTAATTATAAGACCCAGTTGACTAATTTGAGGAGATTAAGGAAAGAAGTTAAGTTAGTTATTTGTAATAAATAGGTGTTGCTTTTTCTAAAATATCCTTACTAATTAACTATATAGGCTAGGACTACAATTATTAGAAGGACTATCTTCGAAAAAAATACATAAATATGAGAGACAAAGTAGATTGGGGTCTTATATTTAGGACCAAAATAAAAGTCAAACAGGGTTTTATATTAAAGACCGGAGGTAGTACATTCTATTCTAATAATACCATATGGAGGGACGCTGCAGACCATATTCCATGAGGCCATGTATAAACCTGCCGGAAGTGGCCATTTTGGTGCCTGCAAATGGTAAAAGTGGGTGCGGTAGGGTTCTAAAGGATGAGCAAGGAAGATGGATCATTGGTTTCAATTGTAAACTGAGCTCTATTCTCCCGGCAATTGCGAAATTTATTGGGATTATTAATAGATTGTAGTTGTATTGGAATGAAGGGTTTAGGACTATTGTAGTGCATCCTGACTATACTGAGGTAATTAATTTGTACCATAGGGATTGTGATGTTAATCAACCCTATAAAAATATTGAGCAGAATACCATATTTATTATCGATATGGATTGGCAGGTTTTAGTTGGCCTATTTAGCAGACTACTTAGTCAAAGGGTTTTGCGGTTTGGATTAGAATTTTTGTATGTTTGAGGAATCTCCACACACAGGATGGATCTTGATGATGAGACGAGTAGCTTTTGTATTGTTATTTTTGCCAGTGATGTTATCCTGTTTATATTTTTTTTATTAAAAAAAAAGGAATACAAGACTTATTAAAAATATACCCATATAAACTTCACTGTAAATTTTTTCTTTTTTTAGCACAAAACTTCAGTTAAGTTAATTAGTTCCGTTATATCCAGTTTCCAACCACCTTGTGCCATCTGTATCAGTTTTTCACATCACCAGTTGGTCTCAAATCCACTGTTAAACCACCATCAGTCTCGAAAAAAGTAGATCTTTTTTAAAACAATAAAAGACATGATCTATTGAGGTCGCAATCGGCTGGAGAACTAACGGTAGTGTAATCGGCGAAGGGAACCGACGGCGAAGGATGCAGAAAGGGAAGTGGAAGAGAAGGATAGGGATTTTCTTCCGTGGTTTGTGGGTGAGCAATTTGAGTGATGCTGGGAAAAAATTCTGCTTTTCTGGGATTGGTAAGGGCCTTAAAAAAGGCAGGAAGATGCGGTCAAAAGAAGGAATTTTCAGTTTTTTTGAGAGAATTTTTTTGCCTGTGTCACTCACGCACTAGAATCGCTCTCCAGAGTTTGGTTCATTATCTCTTGTTCATTCTTGAAAGTCTTCTCTCTGTGTTCGATCTCTTAGAAGAGGCTTCAGATTGGAACCACGAGCTGAAGCCAGGAGAACATTATCCTATCTTCTTTGTTAATTAACCATCTGAATGCAGGAGAACATAAGCATCTCAGTGAATGGACAATCCCAGGTGCCTCCTGGTTCTCAATTCCATCCAACTGAATTGAAGGGGAGCTTTTGCATTAAGAAGATATGATGTCAAAAGATCGACCTTAACGTCATTCACGATATCGAGCTCAACAGCTTTGCGCCTTAAACTATACAAGCTAAATCATAACTAAAGATATATGCCTTTGGCTTTCAGAGAAGAGCTAAATCAGAACCACCCACACAGAACGATTTGTACTTCTTCAACCATAAAGACAAGAAGTATCCCGCCAGAACTTGAACAAAATGGGCAATCACCATTGGGCTCTAGAAGGCTCCAGCCTCCAAGGCAGAACAAGGTGAAATATGGGGACTTGAAAAGGATGTTTAGATTCTTGCAGAAATGCTTTTTAAAAATATATTTTTTTTATAAATTGAGATAAATTTTTTTTGCACATTTATTTCATATACTATTAAACTATTTTTAAAATTATAATTTAGTTTTCATCTAAATACCATCTTAGATTCTCCCCACATTATCCTTCCCATCCTCCTCCTCTTCTGTTACCCTCATTTTCCCCTGATAACTATTAGATTAAAATTTTAATAGTCTAAATTTAGCATCTTATAAAAATAATGTTATCAAGAAAATAAATAAACTTAAATTATTAAAATGGTCTAAACAATTCACAATTGAAATAAAAAATTTTAAAAAAATTTCTTCATAATAATAGTATGCAGCTAGAATTATTTAAATTAGATTTTAACAGCTTAAACTTATTTATCTATTTTTTATAATAATGTTTATTTTTATAAAATATTAAATTTGAATCAATAGAGTTTTGATCTAATAATTATTTAGAAAAATGGAGGGCAGTGGAAAGGATGAGGATGGAAAAGATAATGGAGAGAATCCAAATCCAAATCCCAAATATGGCAACGAGAGGATAGCGTTTAGAGAAAGACGCTTGTTTAATTAAAATTTTTTTTTTTTTGGGTTAGGACTAATGGTGGTTTAACGGTGGATTTTGGATTAAATGTTGATGGGAAAAACTATTACAGATGGCAGGATCTAATTGAATAACTGGATAATAGATGACCTGAGTTTTCTCTTTAATTGCTAATTTACAAAATAATTAATAACTTAAATAAAAATAATAAAATCTGACCTTATAACCTCTGTTTTGGTGATGAACGGAGAGCTCAGAAAAAAACACCGCCATTTTCATTGTCCTCTATGCTTGTCGTGCTACTCTCTTCCTCTCTGTCTCAGTCCCTTTCAACGGCTCCATTCTTACTATACTCCAAGACTCACCTTCTTCACGTAATATTTTATTGTCCAAATCATTTTACTTGTATGGATTTCTTGTCAGGTTCTCAACCCACCTATCACTACCTTCTTCTTCTCCATCTTCCTGCCGATGTCTCCATCGCTCCTATTTCTGCATTTCTTTTCGCTTTTCTTCCTTGTTTTCGTCTCCTCTGTTTCCGCCCATGGTGCCCACGACAAGGAATGGGAATCTGCTGATGCCAACCTCGATCTTCGCTCCAGAACTTTAATTCTCGCTAAAATCTGGTGCATGATCATTGTGTTTGTTGTGACTTTTGTTGCGGGAGTTTCGCCCTATGTGTTGAAATGGAACGAGGGTTTCTTGGTTTTGGGGACCCAGTTTGCTGGGGGTGTTTTTCTGGGTACTGCTATGATGCACTTCCTTAGCGATGCCCACCAGACGTTCGAGGATTTGACCGACAAGGAGTATCCCTTTGCGTTTATGCTCGCTTGTGTGGGTTATTTATTCACCATGTTCGCTGATTGTGTTGTTTCCTCTATCTTTGCCGGGCAGAATAAGAGATCAGGTTCGGGAGCTGATGTTGAGCTTCAAGGTTGGTGGTTTAGAATGTAGTAAGATCAATATGTGGTGATAATTACGCTTTTTTGCTTAGTTTAAAAGTTAGATCTTCTAATGTAGTGTAGTGCGGTTTGCTTCTTTTTCTTCTTTTCCTGCTGTCGAACTGTAGTGTCTGGCTAAGAAGATTGCAAATTTGGTAGTATCGGAGATGAAAAGGGTGATGATGTTAGGCTTCTATTTAAGATTCATAGTTCTTTAGAATTTATAAAATAATGGGAACAGCATATGGATTTATCAACTTCTAAATTGTAAGAACACTTACTTAGGTTTATGAAGTAAAAGAACATCGTAGTTATTCATTTTATCATGTAGATTTTAAATAATAAAAGTGGAATTGTTATTATGATGGTTTGTTCATGTCAAATTCATTACTTATGGTGATCCGTAAGTGAACATAAACATTCATGCGCACGACAACTTACTGTTCATTTTCTTCAATCTGTAAATAAGAAAAGTTCCTTCAAGATGGTAGAAGGGGAACTTCAATTGAGCCAGAAACCAACTTGTATGTGAATATCCTCAGATTCTCCTTTTGTCTCCTTCAAACACCTGGCAATCATCCATTCTTCTTGTTATATTTACAGGTGATGAAATGGCCAACGGAAGTGCCAACGTTCGCACTTCACAATCACAATACAAGGTAACAAATTTTGAATGATAGAGGTTCCTCCTGAGCAAAGTCTTCTACTGGGAAAACTTCTCCTTGGCTCTGTCATCATGTATTTAGTTGCAGTTTCTGGTTAACAGGTCCATGCTGGTGCCAATCACCACTTTGCCAATCATGTTGCATCTGCCAGTTCACTTGGAGATACCATCTTGTTGATTCTTGCCTTATGTTTTCATTCTTTGTTTGAGGGCATAGCCATTGGAGTTGCTGAGAAAAAAGAGGATGCTTGGAGAGCTTTATGGACAATCTCTATGCATAAGATATTTGCAGCCATTGCCATGGGTATTGCTCTTCTTAGAATGACCCCAAATCGTCCCCTTTTATCATGTGCAATCTATTCCTTTGCTTTTGCCATGTCCAGTCCAGCTGGTGCGGCAATCGGAATCATCATAGATTCCACAACACAGGGTTCTCTGGCAGATTGGATCTTTGCTGTATCAATGAGTCTTGCTTGTGGAGTTTTTATCTACGTATCAGTAAATCATCTATTGTCAAAAGGATTCGCACCCCAGAAACCAGTTCAAGTTGACACTGCTTATTTCAAGTTTATTGCTGTGTTGTTGGGCGTTGGAGTCATAGCAGTTGTGATGATTTGGGACACTTAAGCTCTCTTCGAAGCAAGATGCATAGCTTAGTTCTGAGATGCATTAAAGTCAAATCCAGTATTCTGTGAATTTCTAGCATCTCTTCCTCGTTTCTTTATTGAAGTAATATTACTATTAGGCTTGTAAATCTAAGATAACCATGCATTTTTACTGTGGTGTCTAAGGTTGATCTCTTCTGTAATATTGCATTAACACAAAGTCAGAAAGTGAAAGTAAACTACAAAGCTTTCTCTATGAAGAATGCTTGAAGACAAGCTTTCTTTTTTATTCTCTTAAATTGCCATGCTGAAAGGAGCACATTCATCTTTGATTTTCTTCAAACCATCGGGGATCAGTTGTTAAGTTGTCAAATCAAAACTAATCAGATGGTCCCATGCCTTGCAAAAGTTATTTTTCTTGGTGAGCTTTGGCTGGAGGTGTTGTGAATAAGTCACTCTACTCTGGTCCTTTCTTTTTGTCTGACTGATCCTGACATGCATAGCCGGACCTTCAGAATAGAATAACAACAAAGTAAAACAAGAAGATAAACTTATCTAACCTAATGGTATGAATTATTAACTAGAAAATCACAATCTTATCACTATCATGAAAATCACAGTTGGTTTTGTTAAACAGGATCTATCGATACTTTGATGAGCAGGTCCTCTGTCTAATTGAAGGCTCTGAAATGCAGACCGACAGCTAATGCTAGCAGGGGCGCTGAATATCCTATTCTTGATGGATTTTCCTTGAGGAAGCACGGCTTGCCATGTTATATCTAAACCCTGTTCAATAGTGATTGGGATTTACCATATTATATCTAAACCTACTCATCCATGAGTGGGATTTATCCAACAATAAAAATAAAGATACTATTTATATTAAATTCTTTATATTTATCACATCAACTTTTCTAACAACATATGACTCGTGTGAGCAGAAAACTTGATGTAAAGAATATAAGGAGTTTGATTTAAGTATTTTCTAAAATAATACTTCGATCCTTAATGTAGAAACCAGGGGAAAAAAACAGACCGGATCGGTCGATTTAACTGGAAAACTAGTGAACCGGTAGCTGGTTCGATCTGGTTTGCTAAAAAAATCACTAATGGATTAAACCGTTTTTAAACTGGTTCAATCTGTAACAACCGATCAAAACCAGGCAACCTGCCGGTTAGAGGGGTTGCTTGGTTTGCAATATTTTATTTTTTTAACCTTCAGCCCCCCGAAACGACGCTGTTTAACATTAAAAATTAAAAAAAAAATCAAACAGCCAGGTCAAAAACTCGAAATCAAAGGCAAGGCTCCTTGCTCACTGCTCAACCCTCATCTTCAATTTTGGCTTTTCGCCATTATTCTTCCCTCCCCAAATCAAAAATCCCTAGTTGAATCCACCCTCATTATGCCAGAGTTTTCTTCGCCGTTGGAGGTTTGGGGTCTTTGTGTCACCTCGTCTAGGTCAAAAGAGGAGGCTGTCGTGGTTCAATCAGATCTGCATGTCATAGCTGCAGGTGGTCACCTCTAGTTATCGTTTCTTCTTCACAACAACAAAATCAGTGTCGCAGCCACAAGTGGTGGCTTCTATCAGTTTTGTGCTCTTGCTCTTGTTGTCTTGTTAGTTATTTTCATTTAGTTAGACGTGGATAGTTGAATGTACTCTACTTTTTCCTTCATTGGTCATGCTTTGTGCAATTGTTCCAGTTTTGAGAGTGAGGCTGAGATATGTTCCAATAATCAAAGTCTGTTGATCTTTGCTGTTTTCTTTTCCTCCAATATCAGAGTCTTTTTCCGTTTTTCGCACATCTAAGGCTAAACTGAAAGACTAAATTTGATTTTTCTAAATAATGAATCTGAACACTGAAATAGGTAGCTGAATTTGTCAATAATTTGCTGTTGTTCTAGTCGTGTGAGACTACTATATGAAATCTGAATTTGTCAATTTGATCTTTGAAGTTGAAGAATAGTCAAATAGGTTGCAATTGTTTTATTCTAATAATAGGAATGCATTTAATAAATGTCATGAATCCAATCCAGTGCAGAGACAAAGGGGAATCATTACCTTGTAGTCAAATACCTTGTCCACAATAGTCAAATAAACTGCAAGGCAGATTTTTCGATTTGATTCATGACATTTATCTAAAGAAATCTCATGCCCACAATAGTCAAATAGCCATTTATATATCTTGAATTTTATTTTTAATTAGTGATGTTATGTCACTCGAGCTAACCCCACAGTAATGACCTCCCAATTGTCATATTTGATCTTTGATTTTTTGATTTGTTATTTAGTAACAGTGATGGATATTTCAAGTAATCCAGGTTCAAAAAATGACGATGTGACTCCTAATATGAGATCTTCCACTCCTAATACTGAAACTTTCACTCCAATATCCACTTCTTCATTACGTATCAAAATGGATCCCAAATGGGCACATGTTGCATACAAAAAAGAGAGGACACAAAATATATATACTTGCCTTTTTTGTACTAATAGTTATAGAGGAAGTGGGATAAATAAGATGAAGTAACATCTTGCTGGTATTACTGGTCAAATAGCTTCTTATACGAACGTTTCATATGATGTACGTCATAGAATATCTGAATCTTTAAAAGAATGTTCAAAGAAAAAAGCTATTGAAAACTTAGAAGAGGATGTTGAAGAAACTCATATTGATCCATAAATTATCATGAGTCCTTCAAAGAAGAGGAAAGCTATTGGGAGTATGGACAATTATTTTGCTCCTAAGACAACTCTTGATTACCAACCAAGTATTAAAAGTGCATTAGTAACTAAAGAAACAAAACATAATGTGAAGATGTTGATTGCTAAATAGGCTATTGTGAATTACATTCTATTTAATGTATTTGATTGCCTTTTATTTCAAAAAGCTATGGATGGAATTGCTTCAATTAGGCCTGGGTTTAAAGTCCCTACTGCTTATGATTTCAAAATCAATTTATTGAGTGATTGGAAAAAAGAATATCAGTTATTTATTGATTGCCATTGTGCTAAATGGAAAAACAATGGCTGCACACACATGGTTGATGGATGGACCGATATTAGACAACACACTTTGATAAATTTCTTAGTATATTCTACACACAGTATGGTATTTGTGAAATATGTTGATGTATCAGATCTAGTCAAAGATGCTAAAATTTTATTTACACTATTCTGTGAAGTCATCAAGTGGATTGGTCCTAAGAATATCATTCATGTAGTGATTGACAATGCAGCCAACTATATAGCATGTGGCAAGTTGATTAAGGAGAAGTATAAAAGCATTTATTGGTCACCTTGTGCTGCTCATTGTTTTGAATCTTGTATTGAAAGACTTTTCTAGCATGCCTCATGTACTAGACCTTACATCAAAGACATCAAAGATAATCATCTTTGCATATAATCATATGGCTGTCTTATCCTGATTGAGAAAAAGACCAAGTTGGAAAGAAATTGTGCATCCTAGTCCCACAAGATTTGCGACTATATTTATTACATTGCACAACATATATATGCACAAAAATGACTTGCAAGCTCTAGTTGTTGATAAGCACTTTGTGAACCATAAATTATCAAAGACTGAAGCAGGATAAAATCTTAGTGCGATCATATTAGATAACCGGTTTTGGAATTACTGTTATGAAGTTGTAAAGATTGTATTTCCTCTTATAAAATTATTGCGCATTGTGGATTCAGATGAAAAGCCTTCGTTGCCTTGTGTTTATGAAGGCATGCAAAGAGTAAAAATGGCAATTAAGGAGATGTTTAAGAAGAACAAAGAGATGTATAAGCCTTATACAAGCATTATTTAAACTCGATGGGACAGGCATTTGAAAACCAATTTTCATGCAGCATTGTACTTGTTGAACCCTGCAATCATATATGGTCCAGACTGTCCTAGCAAGTCAAAATTAATGATGGCTTTGATTGATGTGGTGGAGTCTTACTCAGATGAAGATGTTGATGGCTTCCTGGTAATGAAACAAGCAATTACTTATCGTGAAGGCAAGGAATCTTTCAGTAGATCTACTAAACCAGAACTAAACCAGTTTAGATCCTCATGTCAAAAAGCTACATAAAAATTAGACCATTATTAGTGTTAATACTTTATAGTATATTCATGGTTTATTTACTAATTCTTTATAATATTACAATACTAAATGTATTTTATTCTATAGATGAGTGGTGGACATATTATGGTTGTTTAGTTCCAAAATTGTAGCATGTTGCAATGCGTATTCTTAGTCAAACTTCTATTTCTTCTGGTTGTGAGAGGAATTGGAGCTTGTTTGAAAGAATTTATACAAAAAAAAAGAAACAGATTGGAACATAAAAAGCTAAATGATTTGGTTTTCACAAATTATAACCTGCGATTAAAGCATAGGTAATCTTGGAAATACTAAATACTTTTAATCTTTTATTTTAATTAACTTATATTTAATTGAATTTTTATTTGTCATTAAAGGAGTACATTGAAGAAGAAGAAAAGTTATGATCCAATTGATTATGAAAACATTGATATGGTGGACTTTTAAATGACTAAAGAAGATCCCACCCCAGAGTTTGATGATAGAGATATCGCTACACTTGAAAGTGTTCTTAACAATAAAGGCACTGCAAATTCAACAACTCTTGATAGGGATAATGAAGGCTTATATATATAATTAGGACTCTATTAGTATTCTTAGATGAATATATAATTATTTGCATAATCATTAATATTGTTATTGTCTTATTTAGGTGGTGAAGATATGGTTATTACTAATCCTCCACCTTTGCACGATAATATTGTTACTCCTACTTTTCCTCGTCCAACTGTTAACATTTCAGTCCATGCTCTCGTTGATGATTTTGATTTTCATAGTCATAAAGATGTGTATTTTATTAATATTTGCTTGGTACAATCGAACATTTAAACTACTTTTGGAACTTCCTATCTTTTTTTTGAGTGATTATTACTTATGAACTTTGTTCTATTTTAAGTTGTGAATTAAATTGTATTATTTTAATATGGCCAGTTTGACCCCAATCTGACCTCCGGTTCAATTAGTGACCCTTAACCTACTGTCTTGATCGGTTTAGTTCTCAGTCCGGTTTTTGTTCCTTGGTAGAAAGTAATTGTTGAATTGATTTTGGTTCTAAATGTAAGATGTATTTTTTATATTTATTAAATTTTTCTTAATTATTTGCAATTGATACTTTCTAAACCATAATCAAGTAGGAGAGTAGGGAAAAATATTAAGAAAAATGATTATGATGTTTTAAAAAAACATGTCATATTTTTTATAATTAACTAACTTACCTAATATAATCAAATTAATTAAATATGTTTTATATTAGGAACTAGACAATTAACTCTATTAATTAGTGGATTTTGACCTGAATATTTTTGCCAGCAAGTATGAAATATTTTAAAGGAGGCATTTTTATTATTTCATTGTCATTTATGTGCGTACTTGGGTTCTTAAAAATAAATTAAAGCCTTTTGGGGCCGAAAAAATTCCGAGGGAAGCTTTTCAATAAGTTTACTGTGAATCAGATACTACCCGGTCTTAATTAGAAGAGCTAATTGATTAATTTAAGGAGATTAAAAAAATAAGTTCAGTTAGTTATTTATAATAAATAAGTATTGTCTTCTCTAAAATATCCTTATTAATCAAGTTTATTAACTGGAACCACTATTATTAGAAGTACTACTTTGAAAAAAAATACTATTATATAAATATAAGAAATAAAATAGATTAAAGTGTTATAAAGATCAAAATAAAAATCAAACGAGATCTTATATTAAAAAACAGAAGTAGTAATTTTCTTTTTGGTTTGAAAAATCAAATACGCATTTGAATGTTCATTTATCGCACGTGCGGGTGCGGCGCTTTTGATGTTCAAAATCCCGCCAGCCTCGCGAACGCGGAAGGACTGCATCATCGTCGTTTTTGGTCTCCTGATTGTTGATAATAGTTCAGCATCTGCCATTTTAAGAGTTAAATTTCTTTTTGGTTTGATTGCTCGCTGAATTAGGGTTTTCAGAAGGTTTAGTTTCGCTGTGTTCAGAACCATGAATGTGGGCGATCTTAACAAGGTCTGGGAGATCAAAGCTCTCAAGAAGCCTGGACAGGAAGATGCGAAGAAGATGTTGGAGAAAATTGCCAAACAGGTCCAACCCATTATGCGTAAACACAAATGGAGGGTCAAAGTCCTTTCTGAATTCTGGTGAATAACGTTTTTCTCTCGCTTTACACTTTTCCCCGTGTTTTAGTTGTATAGAGGAACTTTAGAATACAAAATACATTGGGTGGGTGGGATGATTGTTTTCTTTTGGGAAACACCGATGTATTATGACTTGCAACATTTCAAGCTTTCTTCTCTCTTTCTGCGGGGCGATTCACTGTCCTTATGGAAAAATGTTAGTCTACTCATCGAATGATTTAACTAAACTTTGAATGGGTGTGGGGAGAATTTGCAAGATTTTTTTGTTGAGAGGGTATGATTGCTGTCTTCAGAAATGAGAAATGCGAAATAACTGACCCGTGTTTGCTACCGTAAACTAGAACCACGACTCTGGTTCACCAATTTGATTTTGCTTTAACAATTGAAGTAGCCTCTTTTTCTTTTTTTTGCGTAGTTTAAAGGATGGAAACAGTGGGTCGCTGCTTATGCCGTATGCTTTATTTTAAGTACCATAGGCTACCTGTAGTTCAAGTCTCTTTCAAATTGCTGCGATGAAAGGAATTCTGATTGACTTTTGTAAACCTGCGTTGCTTTTGATTCCATATGTTATAAATAATGAATTAATCAATGTAATTGTAGCCCGAACAATCCGTCTCTTCTGGGCTTGAATGTTGGAGGTGGTGTACATGTGAAGTTGAGGCTGCGAAGGGCAAACAGGGATTGGGACTTTTACCCATTTGACCAAGTTCTGGATACAATGCTTCATGAGCTTTGCCATAATGTTCATGGTCCTCACAATGCCAACTTTTACAGGCTTTGGGATGAACTTAGAAAGGTTTTACTTTTACTTATTTCCCACATAATGCATATGTAATACGGTTGTTCCTCTGTATTGTTTTGTGAAATTATTTTCAGTATCATGTGGAACCGTTGCTCTGTTTTGAAACAATTACCTTTGGGGTTATATGCGTTTAAGTGTGACATTTTTTTCAAAAAATATTTCTGCCCGATATTTGTTAATTTGCCATACACGGGGTTTGGCCATTGGGTTTATTATCAGTAGTGCGGTTCCGTGCAATGATCAGATTGCTATTCTGTGACTCAAATTTCTTCATTCCCAGACTGCATACTTTCATTGATGAAGATCTCAGTTGTACTTTGGGCCTTTTTATCAGCTGTGATTGGAAAAAATGTTGAAAAGTGAAGTGAATAGCATATTTCCCTTGCAACTTACCCTCAACCAAAGATCATGTAAGAGACAGCTTGCAGGTGCTGGGTAGATTTATATAAGTCCTCTCCACAGTTACATTTTGAACTTTGTTCTTCTGTTGGAAAAGTTGCCAGAAGACAATGTTAATTATGACAAACCTTGGAAGTTTGAGTATCAGTTCATCCATTCCTCATTTTTCTACCCTCTTTAGATATGCTGTCTTATGATCGTTCTAACATCTGAGAACTTATCTCCAGGTGTTCCTTCCATGTGGAAAATACTATTCTTTATTAGGAAGAATCCTTGTTTTGTGTTTTACCCGGACATGATTTTCTTCATGTGTTGATGTTATCAATGTTGTATAGGAATGTGAAGAGCTGATGGCCAAGGGAATAACTGGGACAGCAGAGGGTTTTGACCTTCCAGGAAGGCGATTAGGTGGTTTATCTCGTCAACCTCCACTTTCATCCCTCCGTAAGGCCACTCTTGCTGCGGCAGAAAATAGAGCACGCTTGGGATCTCTCCTTCCATCTGGGCCCAAACGCCTTGGTGGTGACAGTGCAATAATGGGTGCACTCAGTCCAGTACAAGCTGCTGCAATGGCTGCAGAAAGGAGATTACAGGATGATATTTGGTGTGGTTCTCAATCTTGTGAACTTTCATGTGATGAAGATGCGGACTACAATATTGCTAAGGATCTTGAACATAAGGAGGAAAAAGCAGGATGCATAGAAGAAAGAAATAATTCTACTCTACCTTTGGATCAAGGATCTCGAAAAAGAAGTCGTGATTTGGATTCAAGTTTCAGTGCCTCTCCTGATATTAAATATGTGGATCTAACTTTGAATACAACAGAAATTGAATCCATCAGTGAACATCCAATTAGATCTCAAAGAAGTTGTTCTGAATCAGTGAAGATATCTTGTTCTCGGTCCTATTCTCAAGCAGGGTCTAGTACTTCAGATTTGTCAATTCCATCTTCCAAGCTACTATCTGAGGATAATGAAAAACTTCATTCTGAGGAATCTGACATGTGGGAATGTCTGATATGCACTCTGTTAAATAAAGTAAGCAGCCTAATATATTGAGTTCAAGCATTTGCAGTTTATTATTAAAAGAATTGTACTTTGGCATAATTTCGTCTTAAATTTTACCTAATGGCAATTGGCAAGGTAGTATTAGGTAAGGACTTTAAATCATGAGGACTTTGGTTTAAGGGACATTTTATCTCCTGGATGACAACTAAAATACGATTCCCTTTATAATGGGATATATCCCGTGCTTATATCACACACACACACATATCCCGAGCTCTTGGTGTGCATATTAAAGATTCTCAATTGATCTTTTCCTATAGGTCTGTTAGTCATGGAAGATGTGTTTTTCTGTAGGAGTTGATAGGAACGATTATTGCTAATTGCTAACTCCTCTCTATGAACTTCATGTACTCACTATTTCGAGTGGATAGTCGGGTGGCATGTATAAAGCTACGAAATTTTAGCTTTGTTATCCTCGCATACTGCTTCGTTTGACAGATTGCGTTTTTCCTAGACAATGATTTCCTGTATTGCATTGCTGTTCAATGCTTATGAATAGAGCAACTTGCCATGGATTTTATTGTATATATTGATTGATTGATGATTGATATGGTTTTTTGGACAAATATGTGTTGATATATTGATTACATGCTTGTTTACGTGTTAATGATTACCTGACCTCTGCAGCCATTAGCTCCTATATGTGAGTTGTGTGGAACACAGAGGCCAAAAGATACTGCCACCAAGTACAAGAGCTGGTCTTGTAAATTCTGTACGTTGGAAAACAGTGTGAAGTTAGATAAATGCTCAGCCTGTGATCAGTGGAGATACTCTCATGGCGCTCCTGTGTCAACCCGACCACCCAACCTTGGCACTTGAGGGAAACTATTAATCTGCCATGAAGTCTGTTTTGTCGATGTCTTGAGGAGAACCCTTACCAGGCATGATCTCATGTATGTCCCTCACTTCATGGTGTATGTTTTGATACTGGCTTTTGTCTTTAGAAAATAGTGTAAAGCCCCCTTCCAACGATTTATTTATAATTTGGCCTGGCTCCTCCCCATATAAGCAATTCTCTGCTCATCTTTATGGTACTTTCCCCCTTGAATGGAAAGATGAAAGAACAAAGAACAAGAGAAAGCCAAGGAGGATGCCAACTTCTTTGCTTATGACGATCAATCCATTCTACAACATACAGGAGGGTAAATAAATACTTTCTCCATCCTTTTTTTAATAAGATCCTATTTACTACTTTCATTAGATTAAAAGAAATTAGTTGAAGTATAGTTGAAGTAAGTCAAATGTCATAATTTTTGACAAATATCCAAATTTATCCTTTGATTAGTATGGTTCATTGAGAGGAGCAAGAGAAGGGAATGAAAGAGACATCATTCAAGGGTCTGCTGGGTTTGAGGGGAGAGTAGGGGTTGGAGGGAAGGCGGGGGAGGTTTTAACCTTATCTTGTTTGGTTTGGTTAAAGAAGAGGGAATGAATAGTAATAATCAATTTACCATTTTACCCTTATATTCTAGTTTATATCTTTCTTTATATATTCCCTTCTGTCCTAAATATAAGATCCCTTTTGTAGTGTAATTTACACTGCAAAAAGGATCTTATATTTAAGATAGGAGGAGTATTATATAAATTAATTCATACTTTATTTTAAATACATAACTTTGAAAATTCAGTTAAATCATGTTATGTATGGATTAAAAAAACTGATATAACAAGTTTTTATATTAATATAATAATATTTTAAAACAAATTAATTAACATATTTTAATTTTTTTCACCAAAAAAAAAGAAGCTTTCATATATATCTTAATGGATAAAATAATATATTTGAAGAAAATCAAACTGTTGGCAAAAAGGGAAAAAGAAAAAAAAGAGGAAAATCAAACTGCAAAGATCTATGAAAATATTAGAGCTGGAAGAAGATGATGCATGGTTGCGTGTTGCGAGACGGAGGACGGAGAAGGCAAAGATGCGATGACTGGCAAAATGGAGAGCACCATTCCTATTTCATTATTTAGTTCCTCCCCAAAACTGACGTTTAACTCCTCTTCTTCTGTTTCCCCTTTCTTCCACCATCACCACTATCCCCTTCTCTCTCTCCCAGCCCCTCCTCCTCTAACTCCGTAACCATCTTGTTATTGGTAACGTCTGCCAAGCAACCAAAGAGACTTGCCACCGACAAAACTGCTGCCTGCTCATCATTTTCGTGGGCAATGCTGCTCAAGAAGACAAGAAATAAAGAAGAGAAAAGGCAGGAGAACACTGACAGATCAAATTGGGAATATCACAGATATATAAGAGCAAATGGTCAGAAATATTTGGCTCCCCTCCAAAAAACCCCAATTTGGAGGGGACCAAAATGAGGGTAAATGGGGGGAGAGGGGAGGGGAGGGGAGGGGAGATTTTGGCTCTTCTCTCCTCTAAAATTTTCAACCAAATGAGGGGAGAGGGTCACTTTCCCTCCCTCCCCCCACTTTCTCTTTCAACCGAACACTCTAAGCGAAGAGTAAAATAGTAAAGGGTGTTTTATTTTTCAAATGAGTCAAACATTTAATAAGATGGAATAGTGTTAATGACCAATAGGCGGGATAATATAGATAGGATTGGAGAGAGTACTTTGGGTTGATTATCTAGAGATTATGAGTTGATCTTGTAAGTCAATTAACACATTCGCTTGTTCTATAGTGCTCCAGCAAAGATGTTCTAATCCTTCATTGAGTAATCCTTAAAAATATTGTTCAAATTCTTGACTTCAGTGAAATGAACTGAATCATGGCAATGGCCCCAGCCGCGTTCCTTATCTCTATGGTGTGGCTTTATGTAAACTACTAAATTAATACTCCCCATGTTCTGACTGTATTTATTCTTATTTGTAATTTGTTCAAAAGAACGTTTTATAAATTGAAATGGAGGGAGTGTGTTAGTCTATCTGATGGTGCCGAGAGAGGAGCACAAGTTCTTTTAAAAATTAAATAAAGGCCTTTACTTCAACACCAAGAGATCTCAATGTAATGGTTAATATTTCTTAATTGAGGGGATCCACATCCCTCCCAATGAACTTGGGTCATTAGTTAGTCCAAAGGGCAAAAGACCAAGAAGCACCTGTATTATTTGTAAAGGGAAGGGAGACAAAATGGGGTTTAAAAATTTTATTTTTCTTTTTGGACCAAAAGTGGTTGGTTTGTATATGTTAAAATTATTCATTTTTTTTACGAGACATTGTTTAGTGTAGGGTTTTTAGTTGCGTGATTATGTAAATAAAAAACTTATAAGGACTTAATTTGAGTTTGAGTATATGGACTAAAGTCAAAATTCATTAAAAATGTATACATTATTGGTTAAATTCAGGCTAAACTATAAGGATTAAAATTAAGAATTTGAATCTATAAGGGTGAACGCTAAACTTTGATCAAACTATAAGAATTGAGGCAACTAATATATTTTTACTTAAAATTTCTGTAGAAATAAATAATTAATATCTTAGAAATTGTAAAATGCAGGCTTTTTCTTAACTAATATGCTATAAACAGTAAAAAAATACTGAAATGTTATGTGATAAGAAGTATTTACCAAAATACTATATCAGAAATGTTTATTAAGTGATCAACTATAAAATGATTAATGAATGATTACTTCAACAAAAATTGTTTGTTGGCTGAACGATTTGCAAACTTCATCACTTGAACAATTTCTTCAATATCTTCCACCACCAATGTCTCTCCCTAATAAATGAAAATAAAATGATTTAGATAATGTCTTAGTAATCTTATGAATGAAAAGTTATGAGTAAATAATTGGAGGAAAGCGTTCATAATAATTACATAATAATACTAATGATAGAATTAGTATGAGATGTATTAATTAAAAAATGATTAATGAAATATAAGTAATGATGAGCACTGAAGATAACGAGTTGGGATAATGAGCACAACTTGATTACTTCACACATTAGATACGTGTCGAACGTTTTGGGCAAGGTGAAGTTTCAGCCCCTGAAACTTGTTAGTTGGGATAATGTGTTGCATGTGGGATAAAACATTAAACAACAGGATGGCCACTACTAGATTTGAACATATGATGTTTAATGACGTGTTAATTCAAAATTTGAGAGAGGATCATGTGTTCACTTTCATTGTCCTTAAATTCTTTTTAAAGAAGGGAGCTTCAAAATTCAACTCCTAAACCTGAAAATTTATTAGAAATGGGTAAAGATTCATCAACACCGTGATCTTATTTTTTAGGTATATCTAGGATTTTTGTTTTATTTATAATATTACCTCTGGTCCTAATTATAAGACCTCGTTTTAATTATAAGATCTCATTTATAGTGTACAAATAATATCTTATAATTAGGACTAGAGATAGTATATCTAACACCTTAATCTTATTTATGGTATATATTTAGTAGCTTAATCTTACTTATAATACATTCAATATACTAATGTAGCTAAACAAATAATATCAAGATGCTCAATGTACCAGGAAAATAAAATCAGGGTATTTGATTCCCCTTTACCCATTAGAAAATTGTCACTTCAGATTATAAAATGCCCTGTTCCCCCCCTCCCCCCTCCCGATAGCGATTATGTGTGAGCCGTGAATATTTGTTGCCATACACTCAAGTTCATGTCTTTTTCATAGACACTTGCCATGCCCGCAGGATTGCTTAGTAATAGTTTTTAGGACTTTACCGGCTCGGTTTTGTATCATATATAAGTTTTTTTTTTTTTATGGGTTTTTCATAGAAGTATCTAATGTAAGGGGTTCAGCAAAAATAAAAAGAATTAAAGTTCATGTCTTTGTCATCCACTTGATAAACTACCTATTTACCAAAGCCAATATAACTCAATAATTACGATGGATCCGTGTCAAAACTTTACACCAAATTCTGATAAACTAGTGGCTGCTAAATTTGGGAAAAGCCAGAGTTACCTAGTCAGAGGCAAATATAAAACTCATACTAATCCATGTTCAGATACTAAACATGGAATCTGATCAAAAAACATTCCTAATCATAGAAGTTTAATTCCACACATCTTCTTACTGAATATTATATGGACTTATATCATAGAGAAAAGACAGCATTCATATAATATAATACTTTTTTTTTATTATTATCTTTCTTACTAACTACTACCTGATTGTTAATATAAAAGCAGTTAACTAATTTAAAAAAATTAAGAAAATTATTAAATTATTTAAATATAACATATGTTATATGATCTCTAAAATACTTATATGTATTATTAGACTATATCTCAATTTATAAGTAAAACAAATTATTTTGGAGAAAAATGGTAAATAAATACTTTAAAGTAATTTAGTAATTTTCTTAATCTTTTTAAATTAATCAGTTAGGTCTTATATGAAGGACCGATGATAGTAATATGATACTTGATATAATAATTACTTAACTTGTTTGGAGAAATTTAAGAAAGCTAAATATGTTACTTACTTTTAACAAGTATGACATGATCTCTTCAAAATATCCCTATTCAAAATATCCCTATGTACATTAGATTATACTCCTCCAACCCAAATATAAACATCAAATAACTAAATTATACTATTCAACAAGTTGGTTAAAGACGATAAATATGTACTCCTTTAGTTTTTAATGTAGAACCTAATTAGGAAGTTGATATTACTCCTATTTGTAAAACTTAATTCATATATTTATCAAGTTTTTTTTCTAAATTAACTTATTAATATTCTCAACAATAATAAATAGATGAGATAGAGAAAAAATTAAGAGGATGCTTAGAGTGTTTTAGAAAAAACATATTATGATAACTAATTTAACTAATATCCTTAATATACTAAAATTAGTTAATTAGGTAGGTAAAAATATTCAAATTTTTCATAAAACAGCCTTATTTATGGAGAGGGTAAGTGGGAGGAAGAATGAGTGGGAAAAAAAGATGAGAGAATGAATGAAAAAAAAAGAGATGAGAGAAGCGTATAATTAATTAGAGGTAAAAATGAAAAA